GTCTATTTATCTCTCTCTTAACTCGAAATGGGAGCAGGTTTGAAAAAGGATCTTAGAGTATCTAGGGTTGGGTCAGGAGGGTCTCTTAACGCCTTATTTTTTCTTCTCATCGGAGTTATTTCACAAAGACTCGTACGGTAAGGAAGAAGGAGGGAACAAGTACACTTGGAGAGTACAGTACAATGGAGAGTTGTATGCTACGATCGGGAAGGATGAATCGCTCCCGAAAAGGAATCTATTAATTCTCTCCCAATTGGTTGGACCATAGGTGCGATGATTTACTTCACAGGCAAGGTCTCTGGTTCAAGTCTAGGATAGCCCAGCTAGGCTAGGAAAAAGAATAGAAGAAGGATCTGACTACTTCATGCATGCTCCACTTGGCTCGGGGAGATATAGCTCAGTTGGTAGAGCTCCGCTCTTGCAATTGGGTCGTTTCGATTATAGGTCGGATGTCTAATTGTCCAGGTGGTAATGATAGTATCTTGTACCTAAACCGGTGGCTCACTTTTTCTAAGTAATGGGGAAGAGGATTGAAACATGCCACTGAAAGACTCTACTGAGACAAAGATGGGCTGTCAAGGACGTAGAGGAGGTAGGATGGGCAGTTGGTCAGATCTAGTATGGATCGTACATGGATGGTAGTTGGAGTCTGTGGCTCTCCCAGGGGTCCCTCATCTGAGATCCCTTGGGAAGAGGATCAAGTTGGCCCTTGTGAACAGCTTGATGCACTATCTCCCTTCAACCCTTTGAGCGAAATTCGGTATAAAAAAAAGGAAGGAAAATCCATGGACCGACCCCATTATCTCCATCCTGTAGGAACTATGAGATCACCCCAAGGGTAACTTTGGCATCCAGGGGTTACGGACCGACCACAGAACCATGTTCAGTAAGTGGAACACTTTAGCTATCTGTTCTCGGGTTGGGCAGTAAGGGTCAGAGAAGGGCAATCACTCATTCTTAAAACCAGCATTCTAGACCAAAGAGTCGGGCTAAAAGAGAGGAAAGCTCTTCGTTCTTAATTCTCCTATAGCTGGAACCTCCAAAACCACAAGAATCCTTAGTTAGAATGGGATTCCAACTCAACACCTTTCGAGTGAGATTTTGAGAAGAGTTGCTCTTTGAAGAGCATAGTACGATGAAAGTTGTAAGCTACGCTCGGGGAGAATTATTACCTATCATCAGCCTCTATGGTAGAATCAATAGGGAGCCTGAGAGGCGGTGGTTTACCCTGCAACGAATATCAGCAGTTCGAGTCCACTTATCTCCAACTCATGAACTTAGTCGATACAATGCTATATGATAACACCCAATTTTTCCGATTTAGCGGTTCGATCTATGATTTATCATTCAGGACGTTGATAAGATACATCCATTTAGCAGTACCTTAGGATGGCATAGCCTTAGAAGGGCGAGGTTCAAATGAGAAAAGACTTACGATGGATATCTAGGCACTCAGAGATAGAAAGGGCGTAATCGACGAAATGCTTCGAGGAGTTGAAAATAAGCATAGATTCGGAGATTCCTGAATAGGGCATCCTTTCAAACTACTACTGAATCCATGGATAGGCAAGAGATAACCTGGCAAACTTAAACATCTTAGTAGTCAAAGGAAAAGAAAGCAAAACCGATTCCCGTAGTAGCGAGGAGCAAAATGGGAGCAGCCTAAATCGTGAAAACGGGGTTGTGGTCGTGCTGCTAGGTAAAGCAACACGAATGCTATACCCTAGATGGTGAAAGTCCAGTAGCCAAAAGCATCACTAGCTTATGCTCTAACCCGAGTAACATGGGACACGTGGAATCCCATGTGAATCAGCAAGGACCACCTTACAAGGCTAAATACTTCTGGGTGACCAGTAGCGAAGTAGTACCGTGAGGGAAGGGTGAAAAGAACCCCCATTGAGGAGTGAAATAGAATATGAAACTGTAAGCTCCCAAGTAGTGGGAGGAACCAGGCCTCTGACCGCTTGCTTGTTGAAGAATGAGCCGGCATCTCATAGGCAGTGGCTTAGTTAAGGGAACCCATCGGAGCCGTAACGAAAGTGAGTCTTTATAGGACAATTGTCACTGCTTATGGACCTAAAGCTGGGTGATCTATCTATGACCAGGATAAAGGTTGGGTGAAACTAAGTGGAGGTTCGAACTGACTGATGTTAAAGAATTAGTGGATGAGTTGTTGTTAGGGGTGAAATGCCACTCGAACCCAGAGCCAGCTGGTTCTCCCCGAGATGCATTGAGGCGTAGCAGTTGATTGAACATCTAGGGGTAAAGCACTATTTTGGTGTGGGCTGTGAGAGCGGTACCAAATTGAGGCAAACTTTGAATACTAGATATGCCTCAAAATAACAGGGGTCAAGGTCGGCCAGTAAGATAATGGGGGTAAGCTTCATCATTGAGAGGGAAACAGCCCAGATCACCAACTAAGGCCCCTAAATGATAGCTCAGTGATAAAGGAGGTAGGGATGCAGAGACAGCTAGGAGGTTTTCCTAGAAGCAACCACCCTTGAAAGAGTACATAATAGCTCACTTATCGAGTGCTCTTGCACCAAAGATGAATGGGGCTAAGCGAACTACTGAAGTTGTGGGATGTAAAAATACATCAATAAAGGAGCGTTCTAACTTAGAAGGAAGCCACCGTACGAGCAGTGGTGGACGAAGCGAAAGCGAGAATGTTGGCTTGAGTAACGCAAACATTGGTGAGAATCCAATGCCTCGAAAACCTAAGGGTTCCTCTACAAAGTTCATCCATGGAGGGTGACTCAGGGCCTAAGATCAGGTCGAAAGGTGTAGTTAATGGACAATAGGTGAATATTCCTGTACTACCCCTTGTTGGTCCCAAGGGATAGAGGAAGCTAGGTTAGTCGAAAGCTAGTTATTGATTCAAGAACGTAAGGTGCCCCTGCTTTTTTAGGGTAAGAATGGGTAGAGAAAATGCCTCGAGACAATGTTCGAGTACCAGACGCAATGGCGCTGAAGTAACCCACACCATACTCCCAGGAAAAGCTTGAACGACCTTTAAATAATAGGATACCTATACCCAAAATCAACACGGGTGGGTAGGTAGAGAATACCTAGGAGCTCGAGACAACTCTCTCTAAGGTACTCAGCAAAATAGCCCCGTAACTTTGAAAGAAGGGGTGCCTCCTCACAAAGGAGGTCTCAGTGACCAGGCTAAGACGACTGCTTACCAAAAACACAGGTCTTTGCAAAGTCGTAAGATCATGTATGGGGGCTGACACCTGCCCAGTGTTAGAAGGTCAAGGAAGTTGGTAACTTGATGATAGGGGAGCCGACGACCAAAGTCCTGGTGAACGATGACCATAACTATAACGGTCCTAAGGCAGCGAAATTCCTTGTCGGGTAAGTTTCGACCAACACGAAAGGCGTAACGATCTGGGCACTATCTCGGAGAGAGGCTCGGTGAAATAGACATGTCTGTGAAGATGCGGACTACCTACACCTGGACAGAAAGACCCATAAAGCTTTACTATTCCCTGGGATTGGGTTTGGGCCTTTCCTACGTAGCTTAGGTGGAAGGCGAAGAAGGCCTCCTTCCGGGGAGCCCGAGCTATCAGTGAGATACCACTCTCGAAGAGCTAGAATTCTAACCTTATGTCAGGACCTACGAGCCAAGGGATAATCTCAAGTAGACAATTTCTATGGGGCGTAGGCCTCCCAAAAGGTAACTAAGGCGTGCAAAGCTTTCCTCAGGCTAGACAGAGATTGGCCCTCAAGTGTAAAGGCAGAAGGGAGCTTGGTTGCAAGACCCACCCATCGAGCAGGGACAAAAGTCGGCCTTAGTGATCTGACTGTGTCGAGTGGAAGGGCCATCGCTCAACGAATGAAAGTTACTCTAGGGATAACAGGCTAATCTTTCCCAAGAGCTCACATCGACGGGAAGGTTTGGCACCTCGATGTCGACTCTTGCCACCTGGGGCTGTAGTATGCTCCAGGGGTTAGGCTGTTCGCCCATTAAAGTGCTACATGAGCTGGGTTCAGAGCTTCGTGAGACAATTCGGTCCATATCTGGTGTGGGCATTAGAGCATTGAGAGGACCTTTCCCTAGTACGAGAGGACTGGGAAGTACGCACCTCTGGTGTACCAGTTATCGTGCCCATGGTAAACACTGGGTAGCCAAGTGCGGAGTGGATAACTACTGAAAGTATCTAATTAGTAAGCCCACCCCAATTATGACATCCCTTCTCTCGCACTTCACACCTCGAAATGCACTGTTCTTATAGAGATAAACGCACTTTCACATCTTCTTAACCCGAAATGAAATGGCTGGAGAGGGAAGAGGAAAGGTTCCTTTTTTTAGGGTACTCTTAGGAACATATCCAGTGTAGACAAGGTCGGGCCTGTAGCTCAGAGGATTAGAGCACATGGCTACGAACTACGGTGTTGGGGGTTCGAATCCCTCCTTGCCCACAACAGGCCCAAAACAAAAGGGAAGTACCTTTCCCTGTGGGGATAGGAAAATCATGATCAGGATAGTGGACCAAAAGCTATGGAACTTGGGTGTGGGTCTTTGAAATGGCTTTTTCTTTCTATTTATTATTTATCGTGAATGATGGAATCATTACAAATAGTATGCCCCCGGCCCATCTTCTTTTTTTATTTTATGCCCCATAACTCTTCCTCAGCCAGGCTTGGGCAGAATAGCAGAGCAAGTACAAGTATTAGTAGCATAACAAAAATGCCTTCCTCATCATTAATATGTTTGCTCGCAACAATTGTGAGCTCTCGGGAGAATCAATGATTGCATCAAAGATGCATTGCTAGTACATCTGAGAATTCTTAATTAGCTAGTTGTAAATTGCCCCAGGGCTATGGAACAAAGGATTATCCCGAACCTACACTGAGGTATTGATGGTGATTTTCAAATCTCGCAGAACAGAACGTGATACGATGAGATAGAAACAAAGACAAGAATAGGTTACCTACTCTTAACGGTCAAAGCGAACCTCCTTTTTCTGAATTTGTTAATTCAGAATGAATCAAATCTCCCCAAATAGGATTTGAACCTATGACCAATCAGTTAACAGCCGACCACTCTACCACTAAGCTACTGAAGAACAACGGGAGATTAGATCTCATAGAGTTCAATTCCCATTCTCAGCCCATGACCAATATGAGCTCGAAGCTTCGAAGCTTCCTTCGTAACTCCTTGGAACTTCTTCGTAGTGGCTCCCTTCATGTCTCACTTCAGAGAGAACCTCAAAGTGGCTCTATTTCATTATATTCCATCCATATCCCAATTCCATTCATTTAATAACCCTCTAGTGTCATTGACATAACAGATGTCATTTCTAGTCTATCTCTTTCTATTTCTTTTCTATATATGGAAAGTTCAAAAATCATCATACAATAATCCAGAAATTGCAATAGAAAAGAAATAAGGGAGGTTTGTGATGATTTTTCAATCTTTCTACTAGGTAATCTAGTATCCTTATGCATGAAGATAATCAATTCGGTCGTTGTGGTCGAACTCTATTATGGATTTCTGACCACATTCTCCATAGGCCCCTCTTATTTCTTCCTTCTCCGAGCTTAGGTTATGGAAGAAGGAACCCAGAAGAAGGTATCAGCAACAACTGGTTTTATTATGGGATAGCTCATGATGTTCATATCGATCTATTATGTGCCTCTGCATCTAGCATTGGGTAGACCTCATACAATAACTGCCCTAGCTTTACCATATCTTTTATTTCATTTCTTCTAGAACAATCACAAACACTTTTTTTATTATGGATCTACTACCAGAAATTCAATGCGTAATTTCAGCATTCAATGTGTGTTCCTGAATAATCTCATTTTTCAATTATTCAACCATTTCATTTTACCAAGTTCAATGTTAGCTAGATTAGTCAACATTTATACGTTTCGATGCAACAACAAGATGTTATTTGTAACGAGTAGCTTTGTTGGTTAGTTAATTGGGCACATTTTATTCATGAAATGGTTTGGATTGGCATTAGTCTGGATACGGTAAAATCATTCCATTAGATCGAATAAGTACATTCGATCTAATAAGTACCTTGTGTCAGAATTGAGAAATTCTATGTCTCGAATCTTTAGTATTCTCTTATTTCTTACCTGTGTCTACTATCTAAGCAGAATCCGGTCACCCATTCTTATTAAGAAATGGAAAGAAACCTCAAAAATGGAAGAAAAGGTGGAAAGTGAGGAAGAAAGAGATTTAGAAATAGAAACAGCTTACAAAATGAAGAGGACTAAACAAGAACAAGAGAGACTCGCCGAAGAAGATCCTTCTCCTTCCTTTATTTCTAAAGAAAAGGAGGATCCAAACAAAATCGATGAAACGGAAGAAATCCGAGTTAATGGAAAGAAAAAAACACGGGATGAATTCCACTTTCGATTAACAGAGACAAACTCTAAAAATAGCCCAATTTATGAAGATTCTTATCTGATGAATATCAATGAAAATCACGACAATTCCAAATTCAAAATACTTATCAAAAAATCGGAAAATAAAAACCTAATAAAAATATTGATACACAAGATACATAGAAGAAAAGATAAGAAGATATGCGTCCACCCCCTACATATTTGATACCTTCTCCTACAAAAAAAAAAAAAAACTTATAACACCAACCCCATTCGTAATTCCATCAATTACTCGTCGATCAAAAAATGAGTTAATTGGGCTAATCCTCTTACCGCCCTAGTTAAGGATGTTGTATAAAAAGCATCTATATAAGCACGATTATATGACCAATTATATAGACCATTGAGAATTTTGTCCCAAAGACTTCTCTTAGGACCTGTTTTAACAAATAAATTGATTGATTCAAATTTTTGAAAGAGGAATAAATGGGTTTATATAAAAAGGACGCTATAAATATTTCGAAATAAGCTATACTGACTGAAAAAAATTGCATCTTTCAAAAATTCATACCAATCGATTGAATCATTCAACTTTTGATGTAAAAGGTTTATAGATGGAGTTAACCATTTGGTTAATATATCCAATTCTTGATTGAAAGGAATTCCTATAGATCCAACGAAAAAAGTAAAGATGCCCAATACAAGTAAAGGAAATAACATAGTATTGTCGAATTCATAAGGATAGGAATAATCCTTTTTATTCTCAAAATGAACAATAGTAATAAAAGGTCCTACCATGTTTCTTACATTTTTATCACTTCGATATGTCTTGTTTGAAAAAAGAAGAAGAAGAAGAAGAAGAAGAAGAAGAAGAAGAAGAAGAAGAAGAAGAAGAAGAAGAAGAAGAAGAAGAAGAACTTTTACTATTATTCATTTTTAATAAACGAAAATTTTTGTTAATTCTTTTGGAACCCCCTTTTCCCCATAGAGATATTGAATAGAAAGGGGTATTTTGTTTGCCACTGTAATTTTGAAAATAAACATTTAAATGCCCCTCAAAAGTAAGTAAATAGATCCGAAACATATAAAATGCAGTTAATCCTACTATGGTCCAAGCTATTATTGTGAAAATCGGCGAATACAACCAACTATCATTAAGAATTTCATCTTTTGGCAAAAAACAAGCAAAAGGTGGAATACCACAAAGAGAAATTGTACGTAATAAAAAAGAAATCCGGGTAATTGGTACATGTTTTGTTAAATCACCCATAAGAGCCATATTCTGACTTTTATCTGGAGAATAGCCAACAATAGTTTTCATTGAATGAATAATAGATCCAGACCCTAAAAATAATAATGCTTTGGAATAAGCATGAGTAATCAAATGAAATAAAGCACTTTGATAAGACCTCATTCCTAGAGCTAACATCATATAACCCAATTGAGACATGGTCAAATAGGCTAAACCCCTCTTAATGTCTTTTTGAACAAGAGCTAAAGTAGCTCCTAATAATACTGTTATTATTCCTATGAACGAGATTAAATTCATTATGTAAGGTGTAACTATAAAAAGAGGAAGAAGGCGAGCTACAAGAAAAATTCCCGCTGCTACTATAGTAGCAGCAGGCATAAGAGCCGAAATAGGAGTAGGTCCCTCCATAGCATCAGGTAACCATACATGAAGGGGAAATTGTGTAGATTTAGCAACTGCACCGGTAAATAATAGAGCAGCACACAAAGTAACAAATGAATAATTGACTTTACTATTATAAATTAAGTTATTTAATATTTCGAATAAATCCCTAAATTCGAAACTACCCGTTATCCAATAAAAACCTAAAATTCCTAATAATAAACCAAAATCCCCTACAGGATTAGTTACAAATGCTTTTTGACAAGCATTTGCCACAATAGGTCGTGTGAACCAAAACCCTATTAATAGATAGGAACACATTCCAACGAATTCCCAAAAAAATACGAATTTGTATCAAATTGGAACTAGTAACTAATCCTAACATGGAAGTACTGAAAAAACTCATAGAAGCAAAAAATTTCAAGTATCCTTGATCATGAGCCATATAATTATCACTATAAATAAGAACCATAAATCCAACAGTAGTGATTAAAATTGACATAATAGAAGTAAGTGGATCAATCAAGTAGCCAAATTCTAAAGAAAAATCATTATTGATGATCCAAGACCATACATATTGATAGATACAACTGCTATTTATTTGCTGAATAGACAGATTAATTGAAAAAATCATGACTATACTTAACAATAAAATACTCGAAAATGCCCACATACGACGAAGATTTTTTGTTGCCATCGAAAAAAGAAGAAGTCCGACTCCTATTAACATAGGAACTGGAAGTGGAACAAAAGATATGATCCATGCATATTGATATGTCTATTCCCTAAAAAAAAATTTAACTAATTGTTTCCAATTCACCGAATCTTACCTCTTTTGAAAGAAGTCAATAAAATAATCAAGATATGCACTAATTTAAATAGAATTTTCTAATTTTTTATTCTTACTTATTCTATTAAATATTCCAAATATTTAAATCAAGAAGTTACAATTGGTCAAATCATATGAAAGAAAAAGATTAATTACTAGTCTCTGAAAATTCAATTCAAATTAGCTATATTTTTATCGAGTTTGACCAATTAATAGAAAAAAGCATGTTCTTCTTCTTTTTTTCTATTTTTAGTAATATTTTATGTGATTTTCACATATCTTTAACCTATCTATTTTTTTCCTTTTTATTTTATAACAAAATATTTTCTAAAAAAGAAATTCCCAATACTACGGATTCATTTTGAATAATAGATGTCGTTCACATCCAGCTATAACAATGACTAATCTCTTAATTTGTATTTAAATGGCAGTTCCAAAAAAACGTACTTCTGCATCAAAAAGCGTATTCGTAAAAATATTTGGAAAAGAAAAGGATACGGGAAAGTGTTAAAAGCATTTTCCTTAGGGAAATCTCTTTCTACCGGGAATTCAAAAAAAAACTTTGTGCAAAAAAAAAGTAATAAAATGTTGGAATAATCTGAATCGACTTGAATCAAAAAATTGACCCATTTTGAAAATCAAATTTATGAATTCCATTACCTATTGAGTTAATCAATATGAAATGGAATTCGCTCCACTCTTAGAATTTGTAGAATAAGAATTCTTCTATTTACCTTACTTAATTCAATTCAAAAAAATAAAAAATACTTTCTTTTTGTTGACAAAAGAATAAACAAAAGATACTCAATTTTCTTTTTAGTTATATTTTCCCATTTCCAAGCCAGGGAGTCTTATTTTCCGCATCTACGTATTTGTTACAATAATCAACTTTTTATTTTTTCTCTATAGCCACTTTTTCTCTCTATCTATAGAAGGGCAAATAGAAAATCTTGAATCTTTAGCTTATAAAATAATTGAAACTAACTGATTAAAATTTTAACCCTTTTGTGTAACTTTCTAACTTTTTGATTTCTCTGAATTCCTATATACACCCCTATATATCTCTAACACTTAGTGAAGAGAGTCTGGATGAATAATGTATCAATTTTGAGTGATCCAAAATAGGTTTTTTTTTCTTTTGGATTCATTAAGAAAATTGATTTTTTTTTTTTTTTTAGTCTGTCCTATTAATTGATAATAAAACTATCTAGTTTTAAAGAGTTCAAGTTGAAGAGAGTCTAAAATACACGAAAATCTTAAGAAAA